TCGCTAGCAGTGGTGGCTCTTCCGTCCCAAGGACCGGCCCATAGATTTCCACTGCTCTCCTCTCCTCTGCCACATCTATTCATCTCCGCCCCCTGGCTTTGATCCCCAGAGCTACAGTGGGGCTTCACTAGCAGTGGTGGCTCTTCCGTCCCAAGGACCGGCCCATAGATTTCCACTGCTCTCCTCTCCTCTGCCACAGCTATTCATCTCTGCCCCCTGCCTTTTATCTCCAGAGTTAGGATGGGGCTTCACTAGCAGTGGTGGCTCTTCCGTCCCAAGGACCGGCCCATAGATTTCCACTGCTCTCCTCTCCTCTACCACAGCTATTCATCTCTGCCCCCTGCCTTTTATCTCCAGAGTTAGGATGGGGCTTCACTAGCAGTGGTGGCTCTTCCGTCCCAAGGACCAGCCCATAGATTTCCATTGCTCTCCTCTCCTCTGCCACAGCTATTCATCTTTGCACCCTGCCTTTTATCTCCAGAGTTAGGATGGGGCTTCACTAGCAGTGGTGGCTCTTCCGTCCCAAGGACCGGCCCATAGATTTCCACTGCTCTCCTCTCCTCTGCCACAGCTATTCATCTCTGCCCCCTGCCTTTTATCCCCAGAGATAGAGTTCGGCTTCACTAGCAGCAGTGGCTCTTCCGTCCCAAGGACCGGCCCATAGATTTCCACTGCTCTCCTCTCCTCTGCTACACCTTTACATCTCTGCCCCGTCTTTTATCCCCAGAGCTAGGGAGGGGCTCCATTAGCAGCAGTGATTCTTCCGTCCCGAGGACCAGCCTATATTCTTGCCTAAACGTAGAACCTGATTTTTATTTGCCATTGAATTTCATTTTGTTAGATAGCGCCCAAAGTGCACGGATCCTTTTGGTAAAAAAACAACAAGAAACAAACCCCAACCCCAAATAAACAAATAAAACGGCTATTTTGGAAAAGAACAAATGCCACCCTGGTTTTGTTGCCCGTCTAGAATTCATGCAGCGGGAGAGATGAAATGGGCCAGCTGGAATGGAGATTGGTGGGTAAAAGGCCGGGTGGGTGAGTGGGTGGAATAAGCACATCGAAGCAAATCTAGCCAGAAAGAAATGATAAGTCAAAAACTATATATATATGAAATGCTCAGCCAGCTTCTACAGGTAGTCCTCGATTTACCACCGTTCGTGACGTTGCAACAGCAGTGGGAAAAGTGATTTTCACCCTTAACGATCGCGGCGGCATCCCCGCGTAGGTCACGCGATCAAAATCCAGGTCCCTGTTTATGACGCTCGGGATCGTGCAATCTCTCTTTTTTTGCGGCCTTCTGACCAGCGATGTCAAGGGGGAGGGGTGGGGGGAAGCCAGATTCGCTTAACGACCGCGTTCCTAGCTTAAATTGTATTTGATTAAAATTTTCGTTTTGAATTGCTTCTATCGACTTTGAGCGATGATTTGTTTCTGGAACTTTGCCCCTTTGATATGGGTAATCAAGGAAGACTCAATGTCCAAGCTTAGCGACTGCAGCGATTCACTTAACAACCAGGGAAGAAAGCCCGTAGAGTGGGGCAAAGCTCGCTGAATCGTCTCTGCTTAGCCACAGAAATTTGGGCTTCTGTTGTGGTCGTAAATCCAGGACTGCCTGTACCCCTTCTACCACCTTCCTGCCGCCCACAAGATTAATGACTTGGCATCCCAGCCTGGCTCGACAAGGCCCTCCTGCCCACCCGTCCCAAAATCTCTACCCCAACGTATCTCAGGATCCTGGAGGCGTTTGCAGGAGAGGCCGCCGAGCGAAAGGAGGAGACGGGAATAGCAATAGCAGTTAGCAATAGCAGTTAGACTTATATACCGCTTTGTAGGGCTTTCAGCCCTCTCTAAGCGGTTTACAGAGTCAGCATATTGCCCCCAACAACAATCC